GCGTCGATTAGTGAATGCGACGTTTTCGGTTCGCGAGAGGGCGTCGCGGCCGTTATTTTTGCGGGTCCAGGTCCGTCGGTTTCGGTCCCAGGCCGTTTTCACGAAAGGGAGGTTTGGTTTACTAAAGGGAGGTCACCGCCGAGAGGTGGGTGTTCCACCCCCCTGGGCGCTGATGAATACACCCCGCGGGGCGCGAAAGATTTGTTTTAATCACGCGCGCCATGGGGTCGTCGCGGGCGCTGCCGAGGGGATCGTGTACCCCCTGCATGACAGTCTCAAAACGATTGCCTTTCGTAGAACAGTTGTTGTACGGGTCGTATACATCCGAGGCGAATTTCGTTCCCCACTCAGGCGTCGTCGTCGTCGTTGTCATCGCCGTCGTCGACTACACCAGGCCTGCTCGTCGTCGTCGTCGTCGTCGTCGTCGTCGTCGACGACTACAGACAGGCCGCGACAGACGGGGGGAGGAGGACTGTCCGTTTTGGGTCGGACGAAAAGCTGGGAAAGGAAAGCGGAGTTGAGAAACCTGCTTCGCGCAGCTGTTTTCGGTGGCCCCGCCGTGAGGCGCTGGGAAAATCAGCTGTGTGAGCTGCTGGGCAGATCCCCGCTTGGCCACGCCCCCCTTTCGTCCAGCCCGCCTTGCTCGCAGGCTCCCCAAGGCAGCTGGCGCCCCCCTGGCTGCGGCCACGCGGTAACGGCTCGACAGAAAAAACACGGAAAGTGCGGGGGCGAACGCCGTTTTTTTCTCATTTCGAACAGCTGTCGCCCTGGCTCACGGTCCCTGCTTCTGCCGGTTTTGCTTCTTGCTTTCTGCCCCCCCCCCTCCCCCAGTCAGTGTTGTTTCTGTCGCGTTCTCGCTGGCGACCGGGCGTCGGCGGTCGCCGTTGTGTTTCAATTTGGCGGGCGCCACCCCCGCGACCCGCCCGTGCAGGGAAACGTTTCTTTCTACACGCGTTCCCCGCGGATTTGTTAATGACAAGCTGACATTATCTTGCTGCCGGCGTTCCCCCACCTTCGGTTTCCTGGAAGTGGGTTTGGATCTGATGGAGGGTTTGGCCACCATGGTGTAGGTGGCGATCCTGAACGTCAACGGCCTCGACGTGGCGAACCAGATGATCCTGACCTTCCAGATCCGCGCTGGGTCCACCCGTGACTTTTGGACGATGGGGATCCATGGGCATCGGCTGGTATTTTGCACGAGGCCCTTCGGCATTACCAGGGCGGTCAGCTGTTTCCGGGGGTACCGCCGTTTTTGTTCAACACTGCAAGGGACATTGGCGCTAGATCAGGCGGACAAAGTTTTGTCGGAGTTGGTGCTCGTCTTCTGTAGTGATGGTGGTGTATATCTCGTTAATGATTTCGACTATCTTGGTACGGCCAAGGAGGATCTTAGCGAAGCTGGGCGTGCCGACCATGGTTAAGTTTTTGCGGATGTCGTTGCTCACGGCGCTCGTCATCCAGGTGCTGGCGGGTTTGTTGGCGGTGCCCTCCCTGCCGTTCCTGAGCTTCCTGCACCAGGAGAAGGACAATCTTCCTGTGACAATGTGGATGCCATGATCCATGATATGGATGGCGACGGCACTCTGCGACGGCGTGGTGCGGGCTGACCTCCAAATTCTTCATCATAGTGCCTATGTGGACCCAGCTGCTGATGATGGCAGTGCTCATGCTGGAACTTGTGACGAAGGTGGCGGTGGGCATGTGCAAGTCCGTCGGGCGGATTCTCTCGGTACCGTGGAGGCTGCGCAACAGGACCTCCAGGCCACGTTCGCGCGGGGTGATGCGTGTCGATGGTGCACGCGTGGTTGTTCCTGTTCCTCATGTTCTTGATTGTCGGGACCCTGCTGTTCATCTGCATACAGGCTAATGCATGCGGCTCCGTCATTCATAACAAGTACTCCCAGGCTTTGGCGGTTTCCTGCACGTCCTTGGTGTCAATAGCATTTTCGGCACGGTTGTCTTGGGATGAACTACTACAGGGTGGTGGTAGGGCCACTCACATGGGCAACCTGTTCACGGTGGGCCTCGCCCCCCCCAAAGGAGCCCCGCGTCGGCGGTGGATCGGCGGTCTTCCTCCCCCGTGGCCCCCCAAAAAAACTCCTCCTCCTCCTCCTCCTCCTCCTCCTTCTCCTTCTCCTTTTCCTCCTCCCCTCCCCCTCCCCTTCCCCTTCCTCCTTGAGCGACGCAAGACAAACGGGACCGCACGCGCCGACATTTGCGCGTAAGCTGCCCTCGTAATGTCGCGCTTAAGCGCCTTCGCTTCCAGCATCGCGTGCCGCGCCAGCGGCTCGCGTAAGCCACCGCGTAATGTTAATGTGCCATCTCGCGTAAGACCCCTGTTTTTCCTTCGTTCTATTGGCTCGGCGCTTGGCACGGCCAGAGCGGCCGAGCATGCATCGGGGTTCAAAAGACGTGAGTCGATGCAACCGGGGTTTAGCCAGAGCGCCGCATCTTGCAGGATTTTGCAGGGCCAAGGTCGCTTTGACCCGGGCTAGGGCGCAGGATCCTGCAGGATTTCGCAGGATCTTGCAAGGCCTGACTGACCCAGGTCAGTAGATCCCCGGATGCAAGCAAAAAATCTCGGACGCGACCTGTTTTCGAGCCTTTGGAGGAGCCTGGACCTTGGAGCCGTCTGGGGTTCGGAAGTGGCCCAGCACTGGTTCCGGCCAGCGGGTAGGGCGGGCAGGTTCGAGGTTCTGGGTTCGGGAAGGGTCTTTGTTTTTGTTCAGCTTGTCGGAGCCGTTTCTGGGCTCCACTGGACCGTCAAAAACGGATCCGGGGCGAAACTTTGCGTTGGGTGGACCCCAGGAGGGGTCCGGGCAGTACTTTTGGGCGGATTTGGCATCATCCCCCTCCTGAGATTTTCTGGTTGTCCAACCAGTTCAGTTCCCCCGGCGGCCTTGCCCAGCAGCGTGTCACGCCTCAGCTTTGGCCCGCTGGCCCGGCGCTTTTCTTTAGCAGGTAGCGCGCGCGCTGATGGGCTCACCACGGCGGCATGTCATTGTCATCCAGGAGGGGAAAGGACACACAGACACAATTCATCGTCGATTCCCAGGAAGATATATGGAAAGTATGGGAAGCGGGGGAATGACGAAAGCCCAGAAAATATCAGAAACAAAAATTGGAATCCTGGGATTTGCGTGTATTCACGTGTGTGTGTGTGTGTCCTTGGCCCGCGAAGCGATACGGTTATGTGTCGACGCTCGCGCGGCGATGCTCCGGCGCCAGTCCGACGCAAATCAAACGTGATCCCCACGTAATCCGACGTGAACCCGACGTAAATCCAACGTGGACCCGGCGTAAATCGGGTCACAAGTTGCCGCGCGAGGCCTCCAGGATTTCCTTCATGAGTTTTTTGCCCGCCCATTCGTGGCACCCTCCCCCCGTCTTGCAGGTACTACCAGTGGTACGCGGCGCCGTCGGAGGCCCTGCGCGGCTCTCCTCCCTTGCACTGCCGCGCGATGGGGGGGGTCGGGAGCGACCTGGCCGACCCTTCTGGCATATCGACCCCTGCCGTGACGACGTCCTCGCAGAAGCTGGTGGAAAATGTGCGCGTACACCTTCAGTTGGCTCCCCGCCTCCTCCTCCTCCTCCTCTTCTCCTCCTCCTCCTCCTCGGCGACTCGGTGATGCGGACGGTGTCGAGCGATCGCCCAGATGCGCTCGATGCCCTCCCCAAGCCGGTGATGGGGCAGGGGAGAGCAACACACCAGCTGCAAAGCAGCGAGACACGAGGGACGGCCCACGCAGAATGACCATGCACCTCCGGGGGAAAGGGGGGGGCGCAGGCGAGGAGCTGGTGGTGCCTGCGCGCGCCGGCGGCCGTGCGGGTGCGGAGGTGGCCCGCGCGTGGGCCCCGGCCCCCCGGCGGGGGGGGGGGCTGCGGCACACCTGGGCGCGTCTCTCCTTCGAGTGGGGCCCCGCCTTCTGCCCGGCGTGCCCGAGGTCCGCGTGGATGGGGGGGCGGGTTAAGGCGACGGAGCGCTGTGGACAGGAGAGGGCGGCGGCAAGGCGCGCTGTGGAGGAGGAGGAGGTGGAGGAGGTGGAGGAGGAGGAGGAGGAGGGAGAGTTCGAGAGGCGGGAGGGGGAGGAGGAGGAGGAGGAAGAGGAGGAGGAAGGAGGAGGAGGAGGAGGAGGAGGAGGGGAAGGAGGGGAAGATGAGGAGGAGGAGGGAGGACAAGCTAGGTGCGCTAACGTCACGTCTGATGGCCTACCACTCCCTCCCAAAGGGGGTACTCGATGGACGGAAAAGCATGGCGTAGAAGAGCACGACAGAGCATAGCATGTCATTGCATGGCGAAGCATTGCATAGTGAAGCATTGCACCACAAAGCAGAACAATGCAAAGCATGGCATTGCACAGCGGTGCACAACACAGCATCGCATGGCATGCGACATGAGACCGACGGAGGCCGGGACCGACGGAAGTGAGACCAGCGTTGCAGCGTGAGACGGGAAAGGGAGCGAGGCCAGGACCGAAACGGGAATGAGGCCACCGCTGCAGCAGGAGCACGATTTGGAAGGACCGAGGCACTGGAACGAGGCCAGCGCTACAGCGACAGCGCTACTTGGAAGGACCGAACCCGCCAGTGCTGCTGCTGCGGGAGCACGATCTGGAACAGCCAGAGGCGCAGGGCCGAGGCCAGCGCTGCAGCGCGGGAGCACGATTTGGATCAACCGAAGCGCAGACATGAGAGCGGGGCCGCAGTGGGAACACCATATTGGGAGAACTGGAAACGACTGGATTGAAAAGACACATCGGAGCAAAACACGCATCAATGACATCCAGTGTGTAAAAAAGGCGGAGAGGACGGGACACTCTCCGGACAGAGTCAGGGGAGAGAAGAGTGGTATTCATATGGGGTCATTGTGGAGGAGGAGGAGGATGAGGAGGATGATGTGGAGGAGGAGGAGGAGAAGGATGATGAGGCGGGGGAGAAGGAGGAGGAGGAGGAGGAGGAGGAGGAGGAGGAGGAGGAGGAGGAGGAGGAGGAGGAGGAGGAGGGAGGAGGAGGAGGAGGGGAGGAGGAGGAGGGAGGAGGGAGGAGGGAGGAGGGAGGAGGGAGGAGGGAGAGGAGGGGGAGGAGGAGGGAGCAGGAGGAGGAGGAGGAGGAGGAGGAGGCGGAGGCGGAGGCGGAGGCGGAGGCGGAGGTCATTGGGCGAAAGGCGAGGGGAGGGGTCTCACAGGCAGAAGGGGCGAGGGAGGGGTAGGTTAGGTGAGTCTGGGGGTGCCCCAGTAGGGAGCGTAGAGAAGGTCACTGAAGTAGGTGGGTGGGTTTGCCGAGAGAGGAGTAGTGGAGGTATGCGTAGTCCGAGGAGTTGCCGCTGTGGAGGTAGCGCAAGACTACTGCTCATGCCGTGGCCGAGGTGAGCTTCGACGTTCCCCAGAGGTGGTGCTGTCGGCAGTGGTGGCGTGGAGGGGCGGTCATGGGGAGGTCGTCGGGTGCGTGGAGAATGGTGGGGTGGGGTGGGGGGGGTTTGCGAATGGGTGCGTCAAGGTGGCAATGCAGGAATCGACCCAGCCCGTGCCACGACTCGGTTGCCATTGCGGCGGGTGGTGGAAAGGAAGGAGGGGTCGGGATTGAACGAGTATTAGGTTGGGGTCGTCGCTGCGGGGTGCAGCTGTTCCCTGCCCTCGGTAGCCATCCATCCCTGCGTGGGACCCCAAAACGGCCCACGAGGGCCCCAAGACGGCCCCAGAGAGCCCCAAGATGGCCCCAAGAGGCTCCCGAGAGGCCCCAGCAGAGCTTCAAGACTGCCACAGGCCTCCGAGACGCCTTAAGTCGGCCCACAAGGCGCCACATCGGCCCAAGAGGGCCCCAAGACTGCCCAAAAGGGCAGCCTCGGTCCATGGGGGTTCTTGTCCAGCTTCGGGCCCCTGGATGGGATGAGCACCAAGGGTTCTGGGCAAGCTTCTCCCACAGTCGTTGGCTACAAGTGTCGATCCTTGCGCTCTGCAAGTGTGGTTAAACTAGACACGCACCCAGGGTTTTCGCTCGTTGTTTCTTCTCCTCTTCTGCTTCCCTCCCCTCCCCAGACATGCGACGTCTTGTTTCTTTCAATACGTGGGCCCCCGGATGTCTCGACCGATTCCCCAGGGCCGGCTTTTCATCCCGAACCGTTTCTTGACGGTCCTGGGGCCAGACGAGGGCCCCCAGGGGCCGAAAGCTGCCAAAAATGGTCCGTCGTGATTTTGGCCACGACGAAAGCACGTTTGAGTCTCTTCGTTCCTTGGCCGCTGCCGCGCCTCTCGCCCTCCGCGGCCCAGGCGAAGGCGGCGTGGCCGGCGGACGGGAACAGCGAGGCCCCGCAGGACAGCGACAGGCGGCAGATCGTCGGCCATCAGGCCGTGGCGAGGGGGGGGGGCTGAGGTCCTCCTCCTCCCGGCTGCTGCGCGGAGGAGCGGAGGAGCGGAGGAGGAGGAGGAGCAGGAGGAGGAGGAGGAGGAGGAGGAGGAGGAGGAGGAGGAGGAGGAGGAGGCGGAGGCGGAGGCGGAGGCGGAGGCGGAGGCGGAGGCGGAGGCGGAGTAGGAGGAGAAGGAGGAGGAGCGGAGGGAGGCGGAGGAGGAGGAAGAGGAGGAGGAAGGAGGAGGAGGAGGAGGAGGAGGACGAGGAGGCGGAGGCGGAGGCGGAGGCGGAGGCGGAGCGGAGGCGGAGGCGGAGGCGGAGGCGGAGGCGGAGGCGGAGGCGGAGCGGAGCGGAGGCGGAGGCGGAGGCGGAGGCGGAGTCGGAGGCGGAGGCGGAGGCGGAGGCGGAGGAGCAGGAGGAGGAGCAGGAGAGGCGGAGGGAGGTGGAGGAGGAAGGGAAGAGGAAGAGGAAGAGAGAGCGATATGAGGAAGAGGAAGAGGAAGAGAAGAGGAGAGGAATATTAATAAGTAGAAGAAAAACAACAGAGGAGGAGGAGGAGGACGAGGGAGGAGGAGGAGGAGGAGGAGGAGGAGAGAAGGAGGCGGAGGCGGAGGCGGAGGCGGAGCGGGAGGAGGAGGAGGAATGAGGAGGAGGAGGAGGAGGAGGAGGAGGAGGAGAGGAGGCGGAGGCGGAGGAGAGGAGGGGAGGCGAGGCGGGAGGATGAGGAGGAGGAGGCGGAGGCGGAGGAGGAGGAGCAGGAGGATGAGGAGGAAGAAGAAGACGAACACTAAGAAGATGAATAACATCCGCCGCTCTGCGGTTGATCGGGAGTTTCTGTATATATAGAAGAAGGGGCGCGCGCTTCTGGGCGAGAGGGAAACGACCGAGAGAAGAAGGGGCGGCCGCCCCACAGGACCTCTCCATGGTGCCGGAAGCCCATCAGGGCTCCCTCAGGGCCCCTCCCCCAGGGCCGGGGCTCCCTCGCCTGCCCCCTCCCCCTCCTCCTCCTCCTCCTCCTCCTCCTCCTCCTCCTCCTCCTCCTCCTCCTCCTCCTCCTCCTCCTCCTCCTTCGCCCCCGTCGGCATATCCAGGCGTGTTATGCAGTCAGGTCGTCCGTCCGGAAACGGTGCCGGAGGCCGCTCTGGGCTCCTCTGGGCATCCCCCCCGGGGCCCGTTTTGTGAGGATGTCTCAGGCGAGGGCGCCGGTTTGGGATTCGTCACCGGATCCAGCGGATCCAGCGGATCCAGGATCCGTCCGGAAACGGTGCCGGAGGCCGCTCTGGGCTCCTCTGGGCATCCCCCCCGGGGCCCGTTTTGTGAGGATGTCTCAGGCGAGGGCGCCGGTTTGGGATTCGTCACCGGATCCAGCGGATCCAGCGGATCCGTCCGGAAACGGTGCCGGAGGCCGCTCTGGGCTCCTCTGGGCATCCCCCCCGGGGCCCGTTTTGTGAGGATGTCTCAGGCGAGGGCGCCGGTTTGGGATTCGTCACCGGATCCAGCGGATCCAGCGGATCCGTCCGGAAACGGTGCCGGAGGCCGCTCTGGGCTCCTCTGGGCATCCCCCCCGGGGCCCGTTTTGTGAGGATGTCTCAGGCGAGGGCGCCGGTTTGGGATTCGTCACCGGATCCAGCGGATCCAGCGGATCCAGTCCGTCCGGAAACGGTGCCGGAGGCCGCTCTGGGGGCTCCTCTGGAGGATGTCTCATCACCGGATCCCCCAGCGGGCCCGTTTTGTGAGGATGTCTCAGGCGAGGGCGCCGGTTTGGGATTCGTCACCGGATCCAGCGGATCCAGCGGATCCAGCGGATCCGTCCGGAAACGGTGCCGGAGGCCGCTCTGGGCTCCTCTGGGCATCCCCCCCGGGGCCCGTTTTGTGAGGATGTCTCAGGCGAGGGCGCCGGTTTGGGATTCGTCACCGGATCCAGCGGATCCAGCGGATCCGTCCGGAAACGGTGCCGGAGGCCGCTCTGGGCTCCTCTGGGCATCCCCCCGGGGCCCGTTTTGTGAGGATGTCTCAGGCGAGGGCGCCGGTTTGGGATTCGTCACCGGATCCAGCGGATCCAGCGGATCCGGATCCGTCCGGAAACGGTGCCGGAGGCCGCTCTGGGCTCCTCTGGGCATCCCCCCCGGGCCCGTTTTGTGAGGATGTCTCAGGCGAGGGCGCCGGTTTGGATTCGTCACCGGATCCAGCGGATCCAGCGGATCCGTCCGGAAACGGTGCCGGAGGCCGCTCTGGGCTCCTCTGGGCATCCCCCCCGGGGCCCGTTTTGTGAGGATGTCTCAGGCGAGGGCGCCGGTTTGGGATTCGTCACCGGATCCAGCGGATCCAGCGGATCCAGCGGATCCGTCCGGAAACGGTGCCGGAGGCCGCTCTGGGCTCCTCTGGGCATCCCCCCCGGGGCCCGTTTTGTGAGGATGTCTCAGGCGAGGGCGCCGGTTTGGGATTCGTCACCGGATCCAGCGGATCCAGCGGATCCAGCGGATCCAGCGGATCCGTCCGGAAACGGTGCCGGAGGCCGCTCTGGGCTCCTCTGGGCATCCCCCCCGGGGCCCGTTTTGTGAGGATGTCTCAGGCGAGGGCGCCGGTTTGGGATTCGTCACCGGATCCAGCGGATCCAGCGGATCCGTCCGGAAACGGTGCCGGAGGCCGCTCTGGGCTCCTCTGGGCATCCCCCCCGGGGCCCGTTTTGTGAGGATGTCTCAGGCGAGGGCGCCGGTTTGGGATTCGTCACCGGATCCAGCGGATCCAGCGGATCCGTCCGGAAACGGTGCCGGAGGCCGCTCTGGGCTCGTGCTCTTCGCGCCGGCGCCGGGGGTGAGGATGACGTGAGTTCCACAGAAACTTCCTCAAACTAGTAACAAGAAGCAGCATACGACTAACAATAGTAGTACTATCAATAATAATACTAAGACTAATGATACTACTAAGAAGAAAACTAAGACGATCAAGACGAACAATCATACTAACAACCATACTCATAATGATAAGTATAAGAATAACAAGAATAACAATACTAATACTACTAAGAATAATAATGCTAATAAGGGGAGGAGGAGGAGGAGGAGGAGGAGGAGGAGGAGGAGGGAGGAGGAGGAGGAGGAGGATGGAGGGAGGAGGAGGAGGAGGAGGAGGAGAGGAGGAGGAGGAGGAGGAGGACGAGGAGGAGGAGGAGGAGGAGGGACGAGGAGGAGGAGGAGGAGGGGAGGGAGGGAGGGAGGAGGGAGGGAGGGAGGGAGGGAGGAGGAGGAGGAGGAGGGGGGGCAAGGACGACGCGACAGGAGTACGTACACTACTATGTACATTTTCCTGCAGGATGTCCTTCTCCAAATTGCGTTCCACTATTGCGCCGATCGAGTTTGGAGGCCGAAACGCTCGTTTGTAATTTGCCCGTACTTCGGCCCCCTAGGAGCTCACCTTGGCTGTGGCTCCTTTGGCAGTGGCACCCGCCCAGCAGTTGTGAGCTGTGGCTCACTCACCTGGGGCCCAAAAGGGGCACGACAGGTGCACTTTTATCGCCCCCCCCATAAATAAGGCCCCACTCGTGCCTTCGAGGAGGACCGAACCGAACCCCTCTAGTCTCAGGACGTGTGTCCATGCCACAAGACGATTCAGAAATGCCCCCGGGATTGTCGCAGCGCCCCGCTCGCGTTGGGCAGCGGACGACGAACAGCATGTATTCTGGGTTCGTCGTCGTCGCCGTCGACATGGCATCGCTCGGGCGTGTGCATTTTTTCAGCAAAGAGCAATCGAGAGGCAGTTTGGGTTAAGTCGGGCCTGTCTTCGGCAGGGGGAAACTTCAAAACTAATTAAAAAAACACCAGTCTGGGGGTGATCGTTTGACCGTTTCGGTGCATTCTTGCTGTATTGTTAGGGCATGTTTGATGTTTTTCGTCCAAGCTCCTCCCGGCGGGGGACGCCCGACCGAAAGTTTGGGCCCTCTCGTGAAAACGGAGGCGCGCGGAGCCGCAGCAGCGGCACGGGTGCGAGGGGCGTTCCCGAGCGGTGGCGGGTCGAGGCGCGCAGGCCGTGGCCGGCGGCCAAACTGGACGGGGAGCAGCTCGTCGTTCGGGCCTGCTTTCCACCGCCGCCACCGCAGGTTGGAGGGGGGAGGAGGAGGAGGAGGAGGAGGAGGAGGAGGAGGAGGAGGAGGAGGACGAGGAGGAGGAGGACGAGGAGGAGGAGGGAGGCGAGGTGGAGGGCGAGGAGGAGGAGGAGGAGGGCGAGGTGGAGGCCAGGATGGGGGGGAGGAGGAGGAGGAGGAGGAGGAGGAGGAGGAGGAGGAGGAGGAGGAGGAGGAGGAGGAGGAGGAGGGACGAGGAGGAGGAGGACGAGGAGGGCGAGGTGGAGGGCGAGGAGGAGGAGGAGGGGAGGGGAGGAGGAGGAGGACCAGGATGGGGGGGAGGAGGAGGAGGAGGAGGAGGAGGAGGAGGAGGAGGAGGAGGAGGAGGAGGAGGAGGAGGCGGAGGACGAGGAGAGAGGAGGAGGGCGAGGAGGAGGAGGAGGGCGAGGAGGAGGAGGAGGACCAGGAGGGGGGAGGAGGAGGAGGAGGAGGAGGAGGAGGAGGAGGAGGGGAGGAGGAAGAGGACGACGAGGACGAGGAGGGCGAGGAGGAGGAGGAGGCGAGGAGGAGGAGGAGGACCCGGAGGGGGGGAGGAGGAGGAGGAGGAGGAGGAGGAGGAGGAGAGGAGAGGAGACAGGACGAGGACGAGGACGAGGACGAGGACGAGGACGGGACGAGGACGAGGACGAGGACGAGGACGAGACGAGCGAGGGCGAGAGGAGGAGGGCGAGGAGGAGGAGGAGGAGGGACCAGGAGGGGGGGGAGGAGGAGGAGGAGGAGAGGAGGAGGAGGAGGAGGAGGAGGAGGAGGAGGAGAGGAGGAGGAGCGAGGAGAGGAGGAGGACAGGAGGGGACCAGGAGGACCAGGAGGAGGAGGAGGAGGAGGAAGTGGAGGAGGAGGAGGAGGAGGAGGAGGAGTAGGAGGAGGAGGAGGAGGAGGGCCCCCTGCCCCTCCAGCTCGTGGCGGTGGTGGTAGTGGAGAACGGGCCCATCAGCTCTTTGTTTGGGCGTCTCGGCATGGCATGCATAATTCCCTTCAGCTCGACATCGCTCGGACGTGTGGAGTTGTTCCTCGGTGAGGGCCATCGCGGAGCATATCCTGGATCATCTTGCGAAACATGCGCGCGCGAAGTCGACACAAATGCACGTGGAATGGACGCCCCGAGCGCTGGCGAGTAGAGGCCCGCAGAAGAACGTGAGTGACAAAGTGCCCACGGACGAATCCCACAGGGGAGGGCGGGGAGCCTTCAGACCGCCTGGTCCGGCACGGTGCGGCGGCGCTTTCGATTCAGATTTTCCCACAATGCATTCAGGAATCATGCTCTCGCCTCAATGCTAGCGACATGTCTGGCCTTGACGGCGACGATCCCTCGTAACTATCCGGGCGAGGGGCCCAACCATAATCATACAGTTGCGAGTATCGCGAGGCAGGTGAGACGAAGGCCGGGGGCCACCTTCAACATGTGATTTGTGTGCCGAAATTGGTGCGGCGGTGCCATGCGAACACTCCCACCTGGGGCCTTCGGTGGAGCGCCCTTGGGGGCCACGAATCGTGCGAGGGGTGTGCCGAAATGGGCGCGGGGGCGCTATGTGAACCCTCGCACTGGGGCCTTGGTTGGAGCTCCTGAAATGGCCACGAAACGTGTGAGAGGTGTGCCGGAAAGTGAGTGATGATGGTAAGAGTGCTGATGTTGCTGCCGATGATGGTGATGACAAGGATGGTGATGATGCGGGTGATGCTGCTGATGCTGATGCCGAGGATGTTGCTGCTGATGATGATGAAGCTGGTAGCGCTGATGAAGATGACGCTGACGTCGAGGAGGGAGGATGGTGAGGAGGGGGAGGAGGTGAGGTGACGCGGGGCGCTGCTGACTCAAAAGGAGGATCGGAGGACCCATCACCACAGGAGGGTTTGGGAAAAAACACTTGGGTGCACATTGCCGTGCTGCCATATTCCCTGTAGCTGACCTCCTACTCCTCGACACGCCTCTTCACCTTTACTGCTATCTCTCCCAAACGGTGCTTGCACTTAGGGTTTCTTACACTGGACCTGGCTGCCGGTCTGGCGGCTCAATGGTCGCCGTTGCCGCTCCGTG